CACCGCCGGGGGGTCGTAACTGGTGCAGTGATGGCTCGACAGTCCGCTTCCAGATAAATAATTGCCGCGTCATACGTGTTGGATACGGGCTTGATAATCACGCGAAAATTATGTCATCTGTCGTCAGATTTGTCGCTGGGCCCGGCTCTTCCCACTTGACTGTATCGTCTGCTCAGACCATGTGTCACTGCGGCGTATGGGAACGGCAGTTCGTTGCGCTTGTTGACTGACTGTGAGCCTGAAACTAATGACTTGACCAGTTCGCGGCTCACGCAATTGTCACCTCATGAGAGGATCTGTGCATGTATCACCCCACTCTACGGTTACCTCTGATGGAGGGTTTTGGACGGAATCCGTAGCGTCAGGCAAATAAACTTAATGTTCGGGCGATCGCACCCTCTACATCTGGACATACCTGATCGGTGAATGCCTCTACAACATAGTGTACCACGACACACTGGTGCTCATACAACCCGGTCTGAATCTACTGGAAACGCGTCTGCTGGCCGTGCAGCGAACGGCGCATGGGCAACAGCACAGTTCTTGGAAGGCGGCCTATGATGGGCCCCCGCTGGCTGATGATTGGTTGGTGGATGAACAGGGCTACGGACTGGGTGTAGATGATGTGGAGGCCGAACCGCGGCGGAATCGGCATTTCTCGGGGCGCCTGAACGACTTGGATCTGCTGCGCAAGCGCCTGTCCTGATTTAAGGCGTCCCTCCTCTCTCTATCTCGTGTACATGAACTCTGACTCAGCCTTTCACTTTTATTATACTGTAGCAGTCTATTCATAACAGTTCATATTCACTCTTTTCTTGAATGGTGGATTCCATACATGCAGTAGGCTGGGCGGGGTAAATCGACTCATCTGCTCTTCACACAATTGCCTCGCGTCTGAAGACGACCGGGTGTGCCAGTGTCGAAAATTTACTATAAAGTTTGTTCCTGTTTTCCGAAGCATCTCTTCTATCAAATCCAAATCTGTGGTGTGACTCCGTAGGTTAATTGGTAGAGCGTTGGCTGGGCCAAAGCCTGCCCTGCTGATGTGTTGGTTCGACCCCCACCGAGGTCACAGAGCTTTCACAAATGGGTCAACTGCATTATTCAGATCAACCAAACTCTCCTTTTCCTAAGTATCTAACGATACAGAGTGTCAGATAGGCTGACACCGACGACGCAATTTATGTCGACGAAATACCTAGGACCTGCCTGACACATCCCTTCTTTAGCTCACCGCTGCGCTGTGTACACGCACGCACGCACTTTTCATGTTTCTTATTCTAGTTGTCGAAAGCGGTCTCGATTGTCTGAATAGAGGCGAAATATGCCAGGCGTGGCCCTGCACCTCTGTCGACACCCGCCTGATCGCCGATCGAAGCGAATAGGCGAGTGCCAGGAAGCAGCTCAAAACTAGAAGATGCGAATGTTGAAACGAAAAGTTTATTTGGCTGTGGTTTCGGATTCTGTCGAGAACCCTTGATCAGAGGTAACGGTAGAATAGTGTGATATGTGCACAGGTCGGGGGCGAGATATGCACAGATTACGCAGTATCTATAGTTTGTGGCAGCCACCCGGCCGCATGTGTAGCTCCCGTCATCACCGCTGGCGGGTTGTAATGGATGCGGCGATGGCTTGGCAGTACGCTTCTGAGTCAGTAATTACTGCAATTATGTCATCTGTGTTACATCTTGGTTGAATTATTACGCGAAAATTAATTTTGCTGTCGCCGGGGCCCTGCCCTTCCCACGTGAATGCTCCTCCTGTTCAGACAATGTCTCAGTATGGAGTATGGGAACGAAAAGTCGTTGCGCTTGTTGATTGGCTGTGCACCTGAGAAACATGACTCGAGCAGCTCGCGGCTCACGCGGCTGTCACGTATTGTGAGGATGTTGGCCTCATTAAACTTGAAAATATGGCCGGGTCTCGTCGAATGAACTGCAACCTGGTAGCTTTCGTCTTCCCTCTTCACTCCTGTTGCGTGCTCGGCCATTCGTGTCTGGGTTAATCTCCCGGTTTCTCTGACGTCTTCTCCGCAACTGCACCAGATCCGGAAAACGACTTCAGCCGTTTCCTGCTGTAGCAGTCAATCGAAAAACACAGCGCATTGCTGTTCACGTACTCCGCATTGGGACATCATCTGGACAGGATAATCAGTCAAGTGGGAAGGGCTGGACCCCGCAACAACTTCGATGACAGCGAATTATCAAGATCGCATCCAACACGGACAAAACACCGTGGAAATTAAGGACCCGGAAACGGACTGCCAAGCCATCTCTTAAATCCAAATCTGCTAGACGCGCAGCAGAAGGCGCATGGGCATGACCTATGATGGGCCCCGCAGGCTGAGGATTGGCTGGTGGATGAAGAGGGATGCGGACTGGATGTAGATGATGTGGAGCCAGAACTGCCAAGGTGTCTGCATTTCTCGGGACGGCTGAATGACGTGGTCCTGCCGCGCATGCGCCTGTCCCAATTTAAAGCCCCTCCTCTCTTTCTGGCGTGTACATTAACTCTGACCCAGCCTTTCATTTCGATTATAATGTAGCAGTCCACTCATAGCTCTCGCAGTCCGTGTGCAACTCACTGTATCAGAGTTGACAGTGGCTTACAAGTGACTGTCAAGCGCGTTCGCTTGTGGCATCATTGGCCGCATTGGGATAAGGTCATGCGACCGGTTGGCTCTTGAGAGACTGCGACCATTTGGGCACGCGCCTTGACGCGCGTGCGTGTGTCGGGTTTAAGGTCATCGCGTGGGCATAACCACCGCGAAGGCGTATGACCTTGAAGACAGTCCTCTGTTGACAAAGGAATCATTGTGGCAGTCGGCGGCAGGCACGACGCCTCAGGAGAGCCTACAAGGTTGCTAGCCTTCGGTCATGCTACATTCCTAACAGTCTGACACTTACGGCGAAATTTATTTCGAAGAAATACCCAGAATCCACCCGACAGACGCCGTCTTATCTCACTTCTGCGCTGTATGCACGCACACGTTTCGTGGTTCTTAATCTAGTTGTCGATAACTTACTTATATTTGTTCCAATTAGCTCCTGTTGTTGGATGAATCGGCTTCATGGCCCATTGGCAGCGATCGGAATCGAGCTCCTCGCAGATGTCATTCCAGTTCCATTGTCACAAGCCGTAATCGTTTACGAGGCCCATGCGTTTGAATTCCTACTTGACAGCGTTGAGCTACGTCTTCAGTTGCCCTCCATGTCGGTATCTCCAGTTTGAGCTACGAGAGGGATTCACGAAAATTCTGTGGAGGTCAAACGATGGCTTGCGCAGGACATGTCCAAACTACTGTAATCGGTGATGCTGGATATATGACGCCAGACTTGGCAGTTGAAAATGCCTGTGATGCAGCTCAGCCTTAGAAATTTGATCCTATCAGGAGACTCTTAAGAGGCGTTGAAGACACTAACCTCGAGCGATGGGGTGTCTGTTTTTCTGGTCTGATGGATTGCCTGTATATTAACAGCTTGGTACGTAAACTGATGTCTGAGTGAGACCAGAGTGGTCTGGCTAACAGCCTAAATGCATTTCGAGCCTGCGCGTTTCGATTCTTGATTTCATCTTTAGCCTGTCTGTTGGCTTTATTTCGACGAGATACCTAGGATCCGCCTGATGCACCCCATCTTTAGCTCACCTCTGCGCTGTATGCACACACTTCGTGTTTCTTATTCTAGTTTTCGAAGGCGGTCTCGTTTGACTGAATAGGGGCGAAGTTTATTTGCCTGACCTGTCAGATTCGGTGGAGGACCCCCCATCAGAGGTAACTGTAGGATAGTGGGATACATGCACAGGTTAGGGTGATATGTGCACAGATTACGCGGTATTTATAGTTCGTGGCAGCCACCCGACCGCATG